TTGCTGTGATGCTGGCAACTATGTCACAGGTATTTTAAGTACCAGCAGGGTCACCCATGGTGGACAGGTTTCAGCTGATCTTCCAGACAAAGACAGACTAGGAAGAAGGAGAGACAGACTATGTCTGAATATTTAGTCACTGAAAACCTTATGAATAACAGTGGAACACTGTCAGCATCAGTATAGTGAATATTGAAACATGATGAAGAGCACCAGAATACTGTCAGATGTAGTGCCAGAAGAAGAGTGCCTCAGATTGGAAGGCATTCAAAATGCGACTAGGGAAGAGCTGTCTCCTCAAAATAGAGTTGACCGTGATGACGCGAATGGAGTAAAGCCTTCAGGAGTAAATCTCTCGGGACGTTCACTTGCTGATGGGGCACAACTCAAAATGAAGAGAAACAGCTGTAAGCATCCATTAATAATTGGACCATGGAATGTATGAGTCTAGGAAAATTGAAAATTATAAAAAATGAAATGGATCACATAATCATATCATAAGACATTAGTGAGCTGAAATGGACTGGTATTGGCCATTTTGAGTGTGACAATCACATGGTTTACTATACTAGGAATGACAAGTTAAAGAGGAATGGCATCACTTTCATCATCAAAGAGACCGTATCAAGATGTGTCTTGAAGTACAATGCTGTCTGTGATAGGACAATATCCATACGCCTACAAGGAAGGCCAGTTAATACAATTATTATTCAAATTTATGCAGCAGCCACTAAAACCAGTGATGATGAAACTGAAGAATTCTGTCAACTTCTGCAATCTGAAATTGATCAAACATGCAAATGTGATGTGTTGGTAATTACTTGTTATTGGAATGCAAAGGTTGAAAACAAAGAGGAAGGATCAGTAGTTGGAAAACACCGCCTTGGTGATAGAAATTATTCTGGAGATCACATGACAGAAATTTGCAAGACCAATGACTTCATTGCACATACCTTTTTTTAAACAACATAAAAGATGACTATACACATGGACCTCACCAGATGGAATATACAGAAATCAAATTGACTATGCCTGTGGAAAGAAATGATGGAAAACCTCAAAACAAGGCCAGGGACAAACTGTCATAACTTGCTCAGATACAAGTTCAAGCTGAAGCTGAAGAGCATTAAAACAAGTCCAAGAGAACCAAAATATGACCTTGAACATATCCCACTTGAACTTAGAGATCATCTGAAGAACAGATTTGATGCATTAGACACTAAAGACTGGAAGACCAGAAGAGTTGTAGATGACATCAAGAACATCATACAGGAAGAAAGCTAAAGGTCATCAAAAAGACAAGAAAGAAGGAAGAAACCAAAATGCATATTAGAAGACTCTGAAACTTGCTCTCCAGTATAGATATGCTAAAGCAAATGGAAGAAATGAGAAAGTAAAAGAACGGAACAGAAAATTTCAAAAGGCAGCTCAAGAAGACAAAGTCAAACATAACAAAATGTGCAAACACCTGGAGTTTAAAAAACCAAAGGGAAGAACACACTTAGTATTCCTCAAGCTGAGGGAGCTAAAGAAAAAATTGAAGCCTCAACTTGCAATATTGAAGGATTCTAAGGTCAAACTGCTGAATGATGCAGAAAGCATCAAAAGAAGATCGAGAGGGAGGGGAATACACAGAGTCATTGTAACAGACACAGATGGCTGATGTTCAACCCATTTGAAGAAATAGCATATGATCTAGAGTGAATAATACTGAAGGAAGAAGTCCAAGTTGTATTGAAGGCATTGACAAAGAACAAGTCTCCAGGAATTGATGGAATACAAATAGAGATCTTTGCACAAACTGATGCAGCACTGGAGGCACTCACTCATCTATGCCAAGACATTTGGAAAACAACCTGGCAACTGACTGGAAGAGGTCTGTATTTGTGCCCATTCTAAAGAGCAGGGACCCAACAGAATGCAGAAATGATTAGACAATATCATTAATATCCCATGCAAATACAGTTTTGCTAAAGATAATTTAAAAAATGGCTGCAAACATACATTGACAGAGAACTTCCAGGGGTGCAAGGTGGATTCAGAAGAGGACGTGGAATGAGGGATATCATTGCTGATGTCAGATGGATCTTGGCTGAAACCAGAGAAGACCAGAAAGATGTTTACCTGTGCTTTATTGACTATGCAAAGGCTTTCGATTGTGTGGATCATGACAAGCTAAGGACAACGTTGTAGAGAATGAGGATTCCAGAATACTTAATTGTGCCCTTGAGGAACGTGTACATATAGATCAAGGGACAGTTATTCGAACAGAACATGGGAACACTGAATAGTTTAAAATTAAGAAAGGCATGCGACAGGATTTTATTCTTCTATCATACTTGTTCAATCTGTATGCTGAGCAAATAACCCAAAAAGCTGGTTTATATGAAGAAAAATGTGACACCAGGATAGAAAGAAAACTCATTAACAAATTGTCATATGCAGATGATACAACCTTGCTTGCTGAAAGCAAAGAGGACTTAAAATATTTACTAATGAAGATCAAAGATCAAAGGCTTTGGTATAGGTTGCACTTCAATGTAAAGAATATTAAAATCCCCACCACTGGAGCAATAATTAACATCCATATAAATGGAGAAAAGATTGAGGTTTTCAAGACTTAATTTTGCTTGGGTCAGCCATCAACACTCATAGAAGCAGCAATCAAGAAATCAAACAATGTATTGTATTAGGCACATCTGCTACACAAGACCTCCTTAAAGTGTTAAAGAGCAAAGGTGTCAGTATGAGGAGTAAGGTGCACCTGAGCCAAGCCATGGTATTTACAATAACCTCATATGCATGTGAAAACTTGGGAGTGAAAAAGGAAGAATTGATGCATTTGAGCTTTGGTGTTGGACGCGAGAATTTAAAAAATACCATGGACTGACAAAAGAACAAACCGATCTGTATTGGAAGAAGTACAGTCAGCACACTCCCTGGAGGCCAGGGTGGCCAGACTTCATCTCTCATACTTCGGATGTTTTGTCTGGAGAGACCAGTCTGTGGAGAAGGATATCATGTTTGGTAAAATGTAGGGTCAGAGAAAAAGAGGAAGACCCCCCCAATGAGATGGATTAGCAAAATGGCATCAGCGATGGGCACAAATGTAGCAACAATTGTGAAGTTGGCACAGGACTGGGCAGTGTTTTGTTGTGTTGTTCATAGGGTTGCTATGAATTGGTACTGACTCGATGGCATCTAACAACAACAATCTCAAAAGACTAGGTGTAAGTCAAGGGCAGCAATGGTGTAAGTCAAGTCCTTTGCAATGAAAAGGACTAGGGGAAGCTGAAGGGGAATCACAGATGATGAGAGAAGTATTACAAATCTAGTTCTATGAAGGAAATAACAGGAGCCAAAGATTGTGACCATGGTGTGGATAAATGACTAGTGTGAAATTTGAGTGTTTACCTTAGTGTGGAGAAACAAGATATTTGAGAGGGGTGTGGCTAGATGGTGAGATTATTCAAGGCATGTACACACCAAATTATTAGCCCATTACTCTGTGTGGTGCCTGGTGTGGTGTTGTGGGTTAATGCGCTAGATTGCAAGTTCTGTTTGAATCACAAGGTTGGCGGTTCAAGCTTACCTGCCACTCCTCGGAAACCCTATACATGGTCTCTATAGGTCAGAACCAGGTTGATGGCACTTAACAACCATGACTTGGAATTTACGTGATCCTGCACAGCCACACTACATTACCTGTTTGTGTATATCACTGTAGGGTTGCTATGAGTCACAGATGCCTCTGTGACAGTGGGGTTGTACTTTGGTTTATTACATATGAAACAAATTAGTATTTTTTAATGCATCGAAATACGTATAATTTCTTTCTGATTACAAAATACGTAGTTATACTGTTAAAAAAAACACAGCCAAATAAAGGCATCTGAGTATAAGGTATAATTAAACATGTGAGGAATTGTACCCTCTTCAGTTCATAGAATCACCATTAATCACTTGTACATATGCAAGCCAATGGCTTCTTGTGAAAGGCATTCTCTAATAAACTTTTTTAAAGCAAGGAGCCCTTGTAATGAATCTGGTCACCTGTCAACTTTTTGTTCCTCCACTTTATCTGGTCTGTAAATGTAGATTTTATTAAATTAGGCTATCTGGAGGAAGTACTTCTAACACCTGGGGACCTTCCAGAATGTATGTGAATGGGTTGTTCTGCACCCGCATTGTTTTCATGGCCCTAGAAGGTTGTCAGGAAATTACCTTGTCATTTGTGAAGGTGAAAGTACATGATTGTGTTTATTTCATGCAACTTTTAAGGGAAAATGCAAACTTTGTATTGGGGTCTAATTTTCAGTTCTTCTCTTTCCTTCTTGGAGTATGGATTTGGTTTGGGGGGGGTACCTGTGAAATTTCAAAAGTAGTAGTTTCTTTTGAAATAGATTGTTTGGAGAAAGCCTTTAAATTTCTCCTGGTGACTTTTTTTCCCCATTCTTTTCTTAACCATACAGTTGGTGGTTTGTTAGACCCCGAGGTAATGATAATGTTTACTTAGTTGGGAGAAGGCCAAGTCTCTGTTAATTGTTTGTTTCCCTGAGCTTGACCTGTATAAAGTTAGGGTTTGTTTTGCTTTTTTGATAAAGTATCTTTGAAAATTATGGGATAGAGGTTGCACAAACTCTTAAGAAAGCATGCCTCAGCCTTTCTTTATTTTTCCTCTGGAATGAAAAGTGATACTATATTTCGTCTAAGTTTTCTTCTTATGAGCTTGCTCTTACTCAGCCTCTCACATTTTAATATGCCTGCTTTTGGTTGTTGTTTTTTGCAGGATCCGTGGATGCCACTTTGCACAGGATACTTAGTGCTGGGTTCCTGAAGCCAGTTTGCTGATTTATTGCCGCAGCCAATGAGGATCACAGGGCTGTGAAGCTCCTTGAAGGTTTGTGGCCACTCTCAGGGACCAGTGCAGGCGGAGGCACACCTGGAAGCTGTTTTCAGGGACTTTTATCACAGGTATAAAAGACTCCAAAACTGTGAAGATGCTGAAACAGATACTAGCAGATATGTACATAGATCCAGATCTCCTGGCAGAGCTCAGCAACGAACAGAAACAGATCCTGTTCTTCAAGATGAGGGAGGAACAGATCCGTCGATGGAAAGAAAGAGAAACAGCAGTGGAAAATAAGGAGTCCTTGCCAGTGAAATGCAGACCAAAGAAAGGTAAACGTAGCCACGCGTCTTTTGTGAATGCACTAGGAGAATAGCTTCTGACTAGTTTTAGCATCTCACACTAGTCACAAGCAAGCCAGGAATAGTTCCAATTTGGTAGACGGATCTTAAATGTTGTTGAGATTCTAACAGTGCTAGTTATCAACTTGAAGTCCACCTACACAAGGCAGTTATGTGGTGTTAGAGCCTTAAGAAAGTCTCTTCTTTTAAACCAAACTGACCCTTATGCTTAAATTAAAAAGTCACCTATGGAGTCTAATTTGAGGATTGTTAAGGTGGTTTCATGCGATAAGCACCGGACTGCGAACCACGAGTACCGCAGTTCAAGCCCGCCAGCTGTTCCACGGGAGAAAGATGAGGTTTTCTGCTCCCTTGAAGATTTAAAGACTTGGAAAGGTAACCTATACAGGGTTGCTATGAGTTGGATCCCACTGGACCACACTTAACAAGAAGGAAGATTTCTATCCCCTCTGTTGTTGTAGATGTCTACTTTTCTACCTGCATACAGGGTTCCTGCATCAACATCTTTATAGGAATTGTGTCTGTTTTTTAGACTTCAAGAGATTTTTCTTTGAGTTATTTTAGAAAAGCCCCTCTTAAAATACTGTGGCGCTGTAGGATAAGGACTTGACTGCAAGGCCAGTTTGAACCACAAAATCTGCGGTTCAAATGCACCAGTTGCTCTTTGGAAACTCTATAGAGGGTCTCTGTGGGTCGGAACTGACTTGATGGCACTTAACAACTACTATATAGGGAAAAAAAAATCATAATTACTAATTTCTTAGTGTAGGTTAACTTTTTAGATGTACTTTCTTCATTATAGAAGCAATCCCTAGTAGTTTGAGGGGGCCTTTTGGTGCATGCATTTAGCTACTAACTGAAAGGCTGAAGATTCAAGTCTCCTGAGAGGCACCTCAGGAGACAATCCTATTCAATTCCAAAAAATCAGCCATTGAAAACTCTCTGGAGCTCAGTTCTACTCTAATACATGGAGTCACCAGGAGTCCAGATTGACTCATTGGCTGGGTTTTGCTTTATTTTTGAGGCCATGGGAGAGGAATTTTTTGGCCATCAAGACTTAGTGCATATATGTACATGTTGTTGTTAAGTGCCCTCAAGTTGGTTCAGACTTGTAGCGACGCTGTATAGGGTTGCCAAGGAGAGACTGGTGAGCTTGAAAGTCAGACCTTGTGGTTCAAACTAACTTTGCAGTCCAGTGCTTTATTCCATAGCACCACACCAGGACTCCATATATTCACATATACAGAGAAAAATCACATATAACCCCTCCCCCCAATTCTGACCTAGTTGGGTATCTAAGTTGTTAAGAAGCATCCAATTTTTAAGGTCACTTATGGAGGCATTCAGGAGTCCTGGTGTGGCACTGTAGGATAAACACTGGACTGCTAACCACAAGGTTGGTGGTTCAAACCCACCAGTGACTCCTTGGAAACCCTATACAGGGTCACTCTGAGCCAGAACTGACTTAATGACATTTACAACAAAAGCACTGGAGGCATTCAAGAACAATTCCTTCTCCTTTCTCATTAAACAAGGAAAACTTAAACTTGAGAAACTTACTTAGGGTCTCAGAGATTGAAAAATTGAATTTGGCTTTCATGCTTGGTATACACACTTCCCTAAAAGGAGTTCAGTTTAGTAACTTTGACTTTATGTTACCTTTCATTAAAACTCTTTTTTTGTGTATGGGGTTCAATTCAGTTTTTATAAAGATGAAGTGTCTCATTTATTAATATAATTGTTATTTTCAGTAGTAGCTGTTTTTTAAAGTGTCTTCTGTGTCAGACACCATATGAAACAGTCTCATATAATTTCCAATCCTCATGAAAGTTCCACAGCGTTGGCATTAATTGTCGTATTTCACAGATGAAGCTCACTCTCAGAAAAGTTAAGCAGCATACATGATCACACTGATAATACGGTGTTCAGACCCGTTGGCTTTTATATTACTCTGAGCTTTCCTTAATAATAGTTTTTCTTGAATAAATAGCAGCCGAAGTACATAACCCCTTTATCTTTCTGAACTTGCTTATTCATCTCCTACATTCTTAGTCAGACTTTCTTTGGGGTACCATGCTCATTGTAAACATACTGTATGTGTGTGGTGGGATAACTTTGGGAACTGGTAAAAATTCCTGGGCTTTTGCCTCTGGAGTCAGTAGCCCACATTCTGTGTTTGACTTTGGGCTTCTTGTGTTCACTAAATTAGTCTCCTTGTGATGACTTAAACAAGACTAATTTCAGTTTTTTAAACAATTTTTTGCTTAAGGCCTTCCTTTGCAGAATTTTGAATCTACTTCTGAGAAAACGTATATGGGTTAGTTATAACCCACTGCTTTCAAATCGAGCCTGACTCATAGTCATTCTATATGACAAAGTAAAACTGCCTCATAGGGTTTCCAAGGCTGTAAATCCTGAAGGAAACAGACTGCCATCTCTCACTGAATAGCAACCGGCGAGTTCCAACCATTGTCCTTTTGGTTGGCAGCCTAGCCCTTAACTGTGCCACCAGGGTCCTTTTCAGTTATATTTAATCAATGATAAAACAAAACAAAACAACAACAACAAAAAAAAACAAGCAAACACATACATACATTTTAACTTACATGTTTCTATCGAAACATCATATCAAAGGGTTATTACCTTCATTCATTTAACACTTGGAAGTTTTTATTTTACACTAGAATAGTTCCTCTTCGGAAGAAAAGGACTGAGAGTCTTTCTCCCACTTCCCTAAAAAGACAGCACTTCTCTATCATTAAGGAGCCCTGAGAGGTTAGGTGTTCGGGTGCTAACCTCAAAGTTCTTGGTTCAAACCCACCAACTGCTCCACAGGAGAAGATGAGGCTGTCTGTTCCTATAAAAATTTACAGTCTTGGAAACCCTATATAGGGCCACTATGAGTTGGAATTGATTCAACGGCAGTGTGTTTGGTGTGTTTTTTGTTTGTTTGTTTTTTTAAACTCTTATCTTTGATCTTACCCTGTCTTGGAGGATAAAGCCACAGACTATAAGTTAGTGGTTGTAGGGACTGGTGTTAACAAGAAGTGTTGTCTGTGCTGCAGGCCTACTAAGCCTGTGGCTACTATTTGTTGAGACTACATCATGTATATGGTTCCTTTTAGACCTGTTCTTTTTGCTCTCCCACTGACCTCTGGCTGATGTTATTGTTGTTAGGTGTCATCGAGTTGGTACCAACTCATAACGACCCTATGCACAATACAACAAAACACTGCCCAGTCCTGCACCAACCTCACAATCGTTGCTACACCTGCTGCTGCCCACTGTGCCAGTCCATCTAGTTGGAGGTCTTCCTCTTTTTCTCTGACCCTCCACTTTACGAAGCATGATATCCTTCTCCAGGGACCAGTGTCCCTCCTGGTTATATGTCAGAATATAAGATAAAAAGTTTGGCCTTCCTGGCTTCCAAGAAACACTCTGGCTGTACTTTTTCCAACAGAGATCTGTTTGATCTTTTGGCAGTCCATGGTACTTTTTTAATACTCTCCTCCAACACCATAGTTCAACTGCATCAGTTCTTCTATGATTTTCCTTATTCACTGTCCAGCTTTCACATACATATGAGGTTATTGTAAATACCATGGCTTGGGTCAGGTGCACCTTAGTACTCAAGCTGAAATCTTTGCTTTTAAATACTTTAAAGAGATCATGTGCAGCAGATTTTTCCCAAAGCAATACATCGTTTGATTTCTTGACTGCTGTTTCTATGAATGTTGATGGTCGGTCTAAGAAAATGAAGTCTTTGACATCATCAATCATTGCTCCACTTACATGGATGCTGTTTATTGGTCCAGTGGTGAGGATTTTTGTTTCCTTTACATTGAGATGGAACCCATAGCGAAGGCTTTGTGGTCTTCCTCTTCACTTTCAGCAAGCAAGGTTGTATCATCTGCATATCACAGGCTGATACCAGGCTGATTTAAGCTCAGTCATTCTCAGCAGTTTGTAGCCAGCCTGTGTCTGTGGAGATTGATCTTCTCCTTTTTTTCTGGCTCATTAAATACATCTGATTTCACCTTCTCACCATTCTAGCTCACTACTTAGCCATTATTTCATTGCCATCTGATTTTTTTTTTTTTTTCATGTCAATATCTAGACCACTCTGGGTCCCCTGAGTGGTGCAAATGATTTATGCTTGACAACTAATTTAGAGGAATCCTGGTGTGGCACCATAGGACAAGAACCCAACCTCAACGTCTCTTTGAACTGCAAGGTCGGTGATTCAAACTTAACAGCTGTCCCGTGGAAACCCTATACAGGGTCGCCATAAGTTGGAACTGACTTGATGGCACTTAACAACAACAACTAACTTGTGAAGGTTGACTGTTCACACCTTCCCAACAGCACCATTCAAGAAAGTCTTGGTGGTCTGCTTCTATAAGGATCATGGAGTTACCAAGTCAGCAAGGAGTTTGATTTTCAGAGAGTATCATTGATGTCTGTGCTTTGTGTATCTCAGGAACTCTGACTGACCTTTTAGAATCTTCAGCATAAAACAAGAGGGGCTGAAAAACAATCAGAAGTATGGATTTAACCCAGTGACAGATCCAAACAGGATTTGAAAGTATAGTGGGAAGATGTGACCCCCAAAGGAGGAGAACATTATGCATCTATTCTGCATGTTGGAGGATGAGTAGAGATTAAGGGTCCCACTGTCCAATATAAGACTTCTACAGGCCTCACTGTCCACTCTATTACTCCTACAGTAGCCCCGGGCTACATGTGATTATTGTGCATGTGAAATGTGGCTAGTCTGCATTAAGGTGTCCTCTAAGTGCAAATTACCAGATTTTCAAGACTCAATAGGAGGAAAGCATTGTAAGATTTCATATTAATAAACTAATGCTGAGTATATGTTGAAATGAGAAGACTTTTGATATCTTGAGTCAAATACACTGTATTATAAAAATTCATTTTATCTGTTTCTGTTTGCTAGTTACTGTGGCTAC